AGAAATTTCATAGCCGGCAACAGCTCGCTACGAGCTCGTACGTAAAATATCCCGGGCACGAACGTCTCTTTTTACCCTCCGCGTAACAGCTGCCGTCGGTTTATTACGCCGCGTGAGCATGCTCCATATAAATTTCATTAAATTTGCATTACTGTATGTATATATACATTTGACACATTAATTCGTGTAATTCACGACACGTGTTGCATTCAACCGTCATAATCGGCGGGTATCGATTTCAACGAACACCGGGGTTTAAAAATAGAAAGCTCCTCCCCCTCTAACCTTCTCCCTCCCCTCTTAAAATTTTCAACAATATATTACGATGCGCGATAATTAACAGGAAAATAACAATAGCGTAACAATGACTGTAACGAGGCCAATTCTTGATATGAACGCACGGAATTGGAATTAAACGTTGAGCGCACAGATCGGATTTGAAATTTCCGGGAAGAAGGCGGAGGCAGAGCGACATGCTCGGGACGGCTTTGATAGATACACCGCGTTTTCGTGCCTGACAGGACGGAGGTATTACGAGGATGCGGCAGATGCAATTCTCGACGGTAATGCGATTAAGTTTCACGGTCACCGGATTCTTTTTCGTCGTCCAGAGGGAATGATAAGTGGCGATAAGAGACGACAGAATAAGAAGCGGTAGGAACAGTAGGAAGATGTAGGAGTCCTGTTGCCCACGCGGAGGACAGAGGAGTCCTCTCCTCTCCTGAGGAGAGAAGAGAAGGACGAACGCGCGCGCACTTGAGTAAAGTATCATCCCGGGAAAGAGGAATGAATCCTACTTTCGTGCGTGGCGCGTTTGCAGATCCCCGGTCGAAGATATAACGATCGAAGTCGCGGCGACGACGGAGGACGGCGCGCGTTTAACGCGCTGCGACGCGGAAACGAGGGGATTAACGTTCTTCGGCTCGCAGCCGGCAGATTTCTGGGATGGTGAAGCAAACGCGTGGCTGTATTCGCCAACCGATTACCTCACACCGGATGCCACGGTGGCCGGCGGTGGCCGGCGCTGTGTGATACCGCTGCGCGCCTCATTAATTACGTATAAGACGTAATTAATTGCGTCTAACAAATTAAAAGCTCGGTCGGTGTGGGGAGCCAGTGGAACGCGCCGAAAGATGTGCACGTTGGGCATCGCGTTTCGCATCTATTCGGCCGGCTACTTTCTAGTCGACAGAGATCGATTTGATCAATTGGAAGATCGACGGTCGATCGCCGCATTGACTCTGAGTCGACCTTTGTTCGGAGAGTTGCTTGGTTCCTTTGAAATTTTTAGCTTTCCGTCCGGTGGATCGATAATAATGTAATAATAATGTGTCTTTATTTGTAGGGAAATATTCTTTTCGTACATAAGATTACGTAAGATAAAAAGTAATTGATTATATAATATAATCTTCAAAGTTGAAATAAAATGAAACGAATTAGGTAGGAAAAGTCGTATAGAAATTTCTTGGGATTTCCTCAGATAAAGCATAGATTAGGATTAGAATATCTAAATTTGTCCTAACAATAGTTGTTACATGGTTATTCGATTATATGATATTAATTGAGAATCTTATTGCGCAAATATGGATTCTCTGTCTGGAATCAAAAGAGAAATATTGTGAGAACTCTTTCTTTTTTTACAATTGATAATGTATATTTTTTTACTTTCAAACAAGAAATCGTTATTTTTGTACCAATTATTGTGTATTCAGTAGAATAAGAAATGAAAAATAAAATAAAGACCAGGTAGAATGCAAAACTTTGGATTTTTTGTTTAATGTGTACACAGAAACATATATTGTCCGAGACATTTATGATTTATTTTAGGAAGAAAAACAAAATACTTGAAATACACACCGTATGCTTTCGTAAATACTCTTTCTTTTTTTACAATTGATAACGTATATTTTTTTACTTTCAAACAAGAAATCGTTATTTTTGTACCAATTATTGTATATTCAGTAGAATAAGAAATGAAAAATAAAATTCGTTTCGAAAACACTCAAAGTGTTTCATATATTTTGTCCAACACACATAAAAAACAGAAACAAAAAAAGAGAATTTTGAAGAAAAATTCGGCGAGGAAAATACGATTTAAGTTTTTCCTTAGAATCAAATGTTCTAAACATCACACGCTTCTAATCCAAATCTTTGTAAACTTATCATTAATTCCCATTAATCAGGAGATCCACCATTTTTCGAAGATTCCGTTCTATTCTACGGCATTATCTAAACGGAAACAAGCGAAAGAAAACTAATGAAGAGAACAACACAAAGATAAACAAAGATTAAATGATAACTGCGAAAAAAAAGATTCTCCGGAACCGTCACGTCCGGTAACATCAAAAGGTCGCGACATGACCGTCACGCTTGCCAGAAAATTATTTCCCATGCTGTCATAAGCTCTTTTCCAGCGGTCGGCGCGGAAACTAGTCGAACAGATCAAAGCACATACGGTTACGTGCCGCGCACGTCCTACAAGTCCTACAAGTTAAATATATCCAACTAACTTTTCATCGTTAGAGTCCGGCGGCGCTGATGAAGCCCGATTGAAAAGTTTGCCGTGCGCTGTTCGATGACAAACAAGCCCGGCGCAACGACCGAGTATTTCAGCCGCAATAACTTCGTTAAAGCACGCGGTTGGAATATCGCAGGTTATTGCGAAAATCTTATCACCCTCGAGGCAAAGAGGAAGGTGACAGGGCGGCGGGAGCGAGGGGCAGGGAGGAAGGCGCTCTTTGGCGATCCGTCGACGTCTCAATTGCGCGTTATAATGATGCCAATTTTACAAGAACACGATTCCAGACCGGCGCCCCGGAAGACAAGCGCGTTACCCGGCAATTATCCTCCCACGACTTATCCGCCTCGTCCTACCACCGTCGCGCCTGATTCTTCGATGGCACGGTACTTTTGGATCGTGCGGGCGCCGCGCCCGCTCGCAAATTAACTTTGCCGCTTGAATCGAGTGCCCGGGCGATTGATCGGACTGTCGCTTGGCAAACTCGATGAGATCCACTACGCTGGCTGTGCGTGTTACGACTAATTAGCTCAGAGAGTCCGCGGCACACGCTCCGCTTAGAGTATGACGCGCGCTATCCACTCGGCGGCCCCACCGTCGATGACGAGCGAGATGATCCCACGGCGAAAATACTACAACGGGCGCCGTTGGGCCGAGTAACAATGAGACATGAATCAGCGCCGCGCGTTTTACGACGGCGCCTAAATTTACAGCTCGCCGTACGGTGGTACTCGCTTCTCCTACTCTTCGGCTGTCTGGTCCCGGCGATACTCGACGCGTTAGAATTAGGTGTTAATTTCACCGCTAATTTCTAGCCGCTTTGTTTAATTACATATTTAGCCTGCTAATTACCGGCCGGCTGCGTACACGGCGAACGTGATTAAGCAGTTACCGCATAATTCAGCCGCTTCCCGCGAATGCTATTACGGCTTCCATCTGCGAAATACGATATTATCCGGGAGAAGACGAGTCCTTTGTTCTTTTGTCTTTTCCAAATAACGAGAGAAATGGAAAGTTCAGTGCACAGGGTATGTGCGCATCTTTTTTGTTATTTTTTTATCGAGGAGAAAATCCATCATGGATACCCAAGACCGCGGAAGGGTTTAGAGTTATGCCGGACTCCTACTGGCTGAAACCTCTTCGGATAGCTCGACGAAGGGACTTAATAAGGGCCCGGCTGCCCTCAAAAAGCTTTTCTTCTTTATCGAGAAGGAAATTCATCATGGATACCTCAGATCCCCGGAGAAAGGTCTGAGGTTATGCGTTCGTTCGCATGCAAGTGGAACTCGTCAAACTGAATGAAAAAATGCTAAGATGTTCAATCGGCGCAGTGTCCTAATTTGTGATAACTACACCTGTTTTTTCTCTTTCTTTTTTTTAATTAAGGTCAGCTAATATGAGTTTATTTTAAACACACGTTCTCTTACTTTAAATTTTACATATTATCGATTATAACAAATTTCGTGAAATTAAATGTCGGGACATCATAATTACAAGACAAACATATTACTGATGGCGACAGTTCGAGCCGACTATTTGTTGAATCTGCATAGTTCTTTCATAAAATCTTAAAAATTGAACTTCTACAAAACTGAAACGGCAAAAACTAAACTATACTGTCATGTCAATAAATGGTACTTCAGTCGTTTTGGAGAGAATGTTATAAATAAATGAACATCTTTCCATAAATTTTAGAAAAGTATAACGCAAATAAAACCTTAAATGTTCTACCGTATCGCAAGCATAGATGGATCAATTTCCTTTCATTAATATCTCAATAATTACCGCGCTAATTTACAAAATGGCAAAAGATTTGACCGTTTGGTTTGACTCGAACATATAAAAGCCAAACACTCTATATATTATACTCTACATATTACACATTACGAATATTGACAAAAAAAACTTTACTTGCGCATGGCCGGCGAATTAATCGGAAGGCTTGTGCCGCGAAAAGAAATTTGGAAAAATTGGAAAATTCTTAAGACTGCGAATAACATTATTCGCCGAAGTATCCCGTTGCGTGTTTCACGAGACGCACATTGCGATCGCGACATATCTTGTGCGTTACAATGCCAATCCGCATCGGGTTGACCCGCGGAATGAAATATAGAGCGTGACATCGCGCTAGTGATTTTGTGCATGCCGATATTTTCACAGCAATATGCTAATAAGCGCAAACGACCGCCAGGGGCAATGAAAGAGAGAGAGAGAGAGAGAGGGAGAGAGAGGGAGAGAGAGGGAGAGAGAGAGAGAGAGAAAGAGAGAGAGTGAGTGAGAGAGAGAGAGAGAGAGAGAGAGAGAGAGAGAGAGAGAGAGAGAGAGAGAGAGAGAGAGAGAGAGAGAGAGAGAGAATTATGCAGCGACGAGGCACAAACGCCTCATTGTGCGAGATTAAGAGAGGTATGAGATGTCACGTGAGACGAACGCGCGACGAAAGCAACGATGATGATGAAAGCTCATTAAAACGTGGTGCGCTTACCTCGAAGCTGAGAAGCCCGCTGTGATCCTGGTCCAAAGTATTAAAAACGTAATGCGCGTACTGGCTTGTATTGGCTATACAAAAAGAGAAAAGAAACATTTAAGTCACAGCTGTTCACACTCCCGCTCACATCTTGCTACATAATTCCGCGTGTGTGCACGTCGCTCGATCTCGATGAGAATCGCGATCTGCGCGCGCTCGCGTCGACATCGAGTCGGCGCGACAGTCGAGAAGTGCGCTCCGTCGCGCGTTGGTGAAAACACCGTGCAATCCATGTTACGTCACATTGCACACGCCAGGGTATCAATTCGGCAAAAAGCACTCTCCGCCGTGCTCTCGCGGTCATTACCGCGGCGGTAATTGACTTCTCGACCGTGCGCCTTCTGTCACGCGGGTAACATTGTCCGCGTACGCAAAATTGCCGCGGGGGCAAATGATCGGATTCAAATCCGATTCGAACGGAGTCCCGCGACTTGCATTTCGTGAAAAGGAGCTCGCTTTAATGACATCGACTACGACCTAATGAGCGGCGCTCTCGAGTCTTCCCGACGCTTCGATCCCGTCGAAGCCGAAAACACTCGTTCGGCATTAATAAACCGCCGCAAAGAAGGGAGGCGCGCTGCTTAATAGGGCCACTCGAGTTCCCCAACTGGCGAACAGGCAATGGTCTTGAACGAGAACAGCGGACAAAGAGCGTCCGGTTCTGCTGCGGACGGCTCGTAAAACCGAATGCCCTTCGGCGTGTGTTAATAACTTCCAGTCGGGGTAACGCGAGTAGCTGTACATCCGAAGGGAGGATTTATGCAGCCGGCGCGAATGATCACCCTGCCGTATGTACGAGTTCTTGCATCTTCCGCCCTCGTCCCCGGCGAGATTTATCGCGCGTTCGGTGTCGCGGAGAAAGGTTGACCGAGAGATATTACCTTCGAATCGCGATATCTCGCCGTCGCGAAATCGAGACCTAACCTCGACTATCCCTCGCTCTCAGGGTGAGAGCCGTTGGTTCTGGAAGGTCACCGGAAGGGCTAGCTTGAACATTTCTACAGCGGCTCCTACCATACCTCAGACATCTTCAACTACATTCCTTGAAGCACACAGTACGCCCTCGAGAACACATCCTCGTTTGTATGTGTGTGTGTGTGTGTGTGTACGCGTGTGTGTGTATGCGTGTATTACGAAAGACGGAAGTATAAAGTGTATTAACTCGTCAAAGTTGGCGGACGTCTGCGAGCTACTACGTGTTCGTAGAAACGTGCCTCAATTGCAGAGTAATGCGAAATCCGAGAATTAGTTTTCTTTGCCCTCGATGGTGCCCGCTGGCAGCACAGCCAGCACAACTGGCAAATTATATTAGCAGGAAGTACCGGCGGGAGTGCTTACACTTCGACATGTACGAAGAACACATCCGGCGCATATTACAACAAGCTCGAGCTCAACTTTTCGTCGCACATCTGGGAGTTTACGTTCCTCGCGAATTTCTGTCATACGATACACTCGTCCCTCTTCTCTCCCTCTCTCTCTCGCGCGCGCGCGAGGTCTCTTTTGGCGGATACTGCGGGGAAAGTCCAGTTGAATCTCCCGAGTTCTACTACAGATCGGAAATTTTTCTTGTTTAACTTCGCTGCGCGAAGGCAAAAAGGGACAGTTTTATTCGCGATCAAAATCAAAAACTAAGAGCGAGATCAAACGATGGACTCTCGCGTGTGTTCTTCCGCGGTTGAGGTTTTCCGGCGAGATTTTCCGGTCGCGACCGCACTGCCAAGACGGGTAAGCCACAGTGGTGATCCGCGAATATACGCTCTTGCACCTCCCGCTGTTCAATAGTTCTGTCGGAACGTTCCCGTAGAATTGCGCAGCTACCAGTCTCCGGGCGAAGGGTCACGTATCTAACATCCTGCGCCATTTGTATACAAATTTCGCACGTGCAATGTACGAAGATGTATGTATGTGTATGATCGAGCAGCACAAAATGTTGCGCTTTCTCTCAGACGAGACGATACTTCAAATACTCACGGATTTTGTCGAGAGGATCCTTCACACGAGAGATAGACGCGAGATATCGAATGTGGTTGTGCGACTCCAAAGAATATTCAACATTTACACTTTGTCGCGATTAATGTAACGTCCTTCGCGATTTGTCGATCGTTTGGAAACGTGGATAAATTTGAATAAAATGTGCAATTTAAATCTTGTTACAACATCATTAATCATTCTCGCGTAGTCGGAATATTCATCGAAATATTCTGTATTACATGGGATGCGTAGGAATTTTTAAAAGCTTGCACGGAGGAAGAAGATTGATTGAATCGAATTAACCCTTTTTTAACTGCTACGGTCGAGATACGCTCGAGTGTGGAAAAAAAATGGCGGCCTTGCTACGATCGAGTTTACTCGATTTGGACTTTCAATGTGTAATACCCATTTAATTTAGTTTGTAAAAAGCATTTGAATTGAGCGGGCATATAGTGCCATCTCTTATCATTATAAAATATTTTATAATTGTAAAAATAACTCAGCAAAGAGGGTCATATTGGTCATTTAATATCTCAGCAGTTAAAGGGTTAATGTGACAACGTATCGTTTGAGAAGGAAAAACAATTCTTGGCGTCTGGAACCGAATTTGATTCATAAGAACTCATTAAATTAGACGAGACAATCCTGTATTATTTTGCAAAAAATTGCGCTCTTCTGAGACGATACAAGACATATTTCAAATTCTTATGAATTTTTAAAATTTTGCATGAAAAAAAAGATTTGTAGAGAAAGGAAAAAAATTGTTTGAATTAACGTGACAATGAAAGAACTAAATTTTAATTTTAATTTTTAATTAAACAAACGTTTTAATTAAAAAAATAGAAGTTTTGGATTTTAGAACCACATTCATAAAAGCTCACTAAAATGAACGATAAAGTACTCTACCATTTTACAAACCATTTTACAAACAATCACGATAATTTTTGAGATGTTAATTAAAGAAAATGAGTGCGCAACATATGGATGGAAGCTTTTAGACAAAGTTTCTCACCCAAGATATCTGAATTTACTGATAATATTTTCGACAACGACGAGCAATGAACTCGTCGGTGAAATAACCAAGATCGGCGTTCGTGCCAATTTAACTAAAATCCGTTTGCTCCGTGAAAATTTGGAAAAATTAACGGTACATCTCATATAATGTGAAATTGGTTCTCGATATCTCAGGCATCTCTTCGTGTATGTATGCGAACGTTGGCAACAATTTCAAAGTGGGTGCTTACACGCTCGCGAGTTCGAAGTGGGTGAAAAGAGTCCTCCGTCAAAAACGAGAAGAGGCGAATAGCTCTCTCCGCTATGAACTAACGAATACGGATCGTGAATCGTTATCTCGACGAGGAACGGGCGGGGGGCTGAGATTTATGACGATGTTGTAACTCAACCATTCGACTTTTGACTGTTGGAGCAGATCTCTGTAATGTCCCTTTATTGTACCGGTTTCGTATTCGATATCAGAGGTATAAATTTCACGCGCTGAACTGCACGTGCGGGTCCCGACTATCCTCTTGGGTTGCCAGAGGGATTTTAGATAAGTATAAACATGTCTACCCTTGATAAAAGACACAATCGCTAAAGGAGCTTCTATTGCCCATTCGTTGCGGCGAATTCGTGATTTTTTCATAACACCCATTCGATCTCTGTTATATCCGAGCATGCAGAAATAATGACAATGGCGGGACACGAAACCGCCGTATTTTCGAAGATAAAAAGATTCACGGTTGAATAAAAAAAAATTATCAATTTTTTTATCAATCATTGAAAAATTTTTTGCCTTCCAGATCATTCCTTTATCATGGACATAATGGCGAAATAAATGACGAATTAGACGAAATGGTGTATAATTTTGGAAACGAGGGAATCGCGGAATTGAATTTAAAAATTAAAAATCTATTTATTTTATTTAATCATTAAGGAAATGTGAAATCTACCATCTTACAAATTCTTTCTGATTTGCCAATTTTAATAGAAAATTTTTCCTCGACGGAAGCTAAAGACTCGTGGTACACTTTTTTGTTACACAATAATTCATCTTGCCGTTTTACATAATGATATGTTGAATCCGCGACTCAGAGGGTACGCGAATGCATGACGCGGATGTATGTATTAAGCGATGTCCTCGTTTTGAAATCGGGCAGAACGTAAAAACTGGATGCCGGCTTATTTATCATGGCAGACAATTCTACCATGATTGACAGATATTTTTGAAACGTTCGGGCTGCACGTAGTCCTGCTTATTTTGAATCCGCCGGCTGTTTATCCAACGCTATTTTAACTTTACTGAAATGACAAACATTTTCGTGCTATCCCCTCAAGACGCAAGCGGGAATTCACATTAAATTGTGACGGCGCAGGAATTTTTAAATATGCGTTTGCTACCGATAGACGGCGAATGAAATTTCAGTCCGCGTAACAGAATGAACCAGACTGGGAGAAAACTCGCTGACGAGGAACAACGTCTCTGTTATCGCGACTAAAAATATTCGTCTGAATATCCGTTGAAACTCGATGAAGTTAACCGAGGACAATCGACCAAAAATAGAAATTTCCCGCGATGATCTTCGTCCGTTTCGGCCAACGAAAAATCAGTTACATCAGCCCCCCCCTCTTTCGCGTACTGTTATATAATCTTTAGCGACACGATATCGGAACATTCGTAGTTGGAAAATTGCGCGCACACGATATGTAGAATTCAGCCGAGGGATTATCTCAATTCTCCTTATCCGAAATCGAAGCGCACGGCTTGTGAAAATACCCGCGGGCCAACCATCTGAAGCAACATACACACACACATACCCGCACACATACACACAAACACACACAGATCCACCAATAAGGGCGGAGCTCTAATTAAAAACTGTGATTTAATGACGGTACCGCCATTTCGTATCGTCTTTGTTTACCCAACTCCGTTCGATTTGCGCTTAATTAAAAAGAAAAGAGGAAGAAGCGGAAGAGAAAAAAACGAATGGAGACGAAAGAGGAAAGGGAGAAGAGTGGTGAATAAAACCGCAAAATGCCTTCTCCGCAATTTGAGAGAAGC